CTTTCATAATTAGTTAGGTTAGCCGGTTAGAGTTGTAGACTAGTCGATTTGAGATTGGCCACAACCCAATTTTCTTTCCTTTTTTTGTGTCAATGTTTATCTCTTATATGAAGGAGTTCTTTTGTTCACTTTTAAAGACAAATATCTAATTTCTTCTTTTCTCTATTATTCACCCTCTTCTTAGAAATTCTTTTATACACTTTTTATTATTTTAGTATTGAGAGGGCCAAAAATTTAAGTGAGATTTTTGCAATTTCTGTTTGAATCAAACTATATCATAATTTTAAATCAAGAGCTTCATTCTCTTGTAACATTGTAATTGTTATAAAAGTTACAAGATGAACTTGAGGAAAAGCTTGATGTAAGTTATGGGCTAATCATGTGATAAAAGTTAAAGTTGATAGTGAAACTCTCAAAAAAAACTCTAGGGATTGGAGTAGGCCGCGTGGTTTAAGACCGTATTTTTCTTATTTTTCTCTTTTACTTTCTTACAATTTATCTTATTTGCTTAAATTTTTGCTTCACCTTTATACTTAAAATTAATATTGTTAAAATCAACATTTTAAAGAAATCAAAAATCATTTTTTTGTTTGAAGTCATTTGGTCAACAAATTTAACAACTTAAACCCAAATTATAGTTGAAAAAGTATAGGTTATGGAACTACACTAGTGGTGTAACTAATAAAGTCTAAGTATATATGATTTTTAAATGAAAACTCTTTGTCCCTTTCTGCAGGGACGAATCTAGCTTTAAGTTATTGGGGGCACTTGCCCCCACTAGGTTATTTATTTTGTATTAAATAATTAATTATTTTAGTTTAATTTTTTTTTTAAATTAAATATTGCCCCCCATAAAATAAATTAATTAATTTTAATTAAACAATTTATTTTTTATGTGACGAAGGAGTATTATTTTGCCCCCACTAATTAATATTCCTGGATCTGTCCCTGCCTCTCTACATATATCCTTATATACTTAAGTAACTTAATTATGTTGCAATGATTTTGACCGTTAATGGATATTAATGGTCTTGTCTTCTTATATGAGTTTAACCCTCCTATTATCATTTTTATTAATTAGCGACTAACTATTTTGCTTGATGTTTAAAGTCTATCATTCCATATTGTTATCTAAATCATTGCAGAATCAATGAAGTCTAGTTACTCAAGATCGAACTAACCTCTTTGTCATAAGAGGTCGCCCCTCCATTCATATTGGCTAGCTCAGCAATCTTGCTTTAGATCGTCTTAAACTTTTCTTCCCCCATTTGAATATTCTCTAGGGTTTTGGTACACTATATTTAGAGGTTTAAAATTTAGTTAATCTATATAGACTTGTATTATTATTATAGACACATTAACATATTAATATACAGTCTCCCGGAAAAAAAGAAAGAAAAAAACGAAGTGGTTAAGTGAACAATCTTCATTATACACAAATTTTTACTAAGTCTAAAATTTTAGTTAAGCCTATTTAAATAAACAAATTGTTCTGGCCTGGGCCCCGGCTTGGCCAGGCTGGCCCAGTCCAATAATATTCTGCCAAGCCCAGTCCAGTTTGGGCCACAGTCTTTGAGCACAGGGTCCCCGATGGGCAAGTAATGTCCCCGCGGGCAGAACCTGCCTCAGCTGCGTCGAGCACAAGACTCCCCCATCGACCAAACACTGCCCTCTCCGCGGGCAGAACCTGCTCCCTGTCGAGCAAGACAACGTGTCATTCACACGCTCTTCACGTGCCCCCCTCCGCGGGGACACATCACCGACCAACTGCCCACCTCTGAAAGAGCAGGTCAAACCCACTTTCTGGAGATCACGGGACAGTTGGACTTGGGCGAAGACCATGTTCTGGTCTTCACCACGCCACGTAAGCCCTAACAGTCACTTGGGTTGGGCCTGTCCATCTAGCCCAACTCAAATGACTGTTGGCCCTGCGCTGGGGTCTCTCTATAAATACCCTCTTTCACAAGAGGATCAGGTAATTCACTTCTTACCCCTTTTTTGTGCTTGTGATCACTCTGCCCATAAGCTTACTTTAGCATCGGAGTGTCTTGCAGGTACACTCTCATTCACTTCTTCAATACCGGTGAGCAGACAACAAGTAGAAGACGCGTGACTGCCAGCGATCCCTTTCTGATCAGGTCAGATCACAAATCAAACAGAAACCTTTTTTTTTTTTTTTTTTATAATTCAAACTCAACTTTTAAATATTCAATTTAGCTATTTCCAACCCATAAATTTCAATTAACAAATAACAAACATTTTAATTTTGTATGATAATGTGAATCTTACACTAAAATTAAAAATGTTGTCATGTGCAAGAACCTAAATCTTATTAAATATTTTTACATTTTTTTCCTTAAAAGTTGTTGATTAACTAGTTCATATTTAATAAATAAATATAAAAAGATGTTATCACTAAAAATATATCGATAACTTATTTATATTAATTAATAAATATAAATACATATTATAATTATAAATTTATTGAACAATAACATATACATACATATTTAGCTCAACTATCACATATCAATTAAACTACTTAATAAATTTTCTTTGATAATATATATGCTTCTCAAATTGTCATAAATATCTAAAACTTTTCATCGCTCCATTTATGACTACCCACCAAATCTTTCCTTTCTTTCAAACTTTTCATTTTTGTAGTAAGGTTCTCTTCTCTTCATCTCTAACAACTGCTCTTTGCTTTCTATAAGTACAATGGGATTGTTCTTCCAAAAAATACTCTGTATTTGACCCATCCAAAATTCATAATTATTTTTTATATATATATATATATATATATATATATATATATATACCACCTACCTAGTTCTATTTCCATTAATGAAAAGGACAATGTCCCGTGAACGAGGCCCGTTCATTATAATACAATCCATAAATAAAAATAAAACACGAAATGAATTTATTATCCAAAAGTAGGTAGATGTAGTGACATTTTTGGAATATGTGAAATGCAATCTAGACTGTAAAAATATTTTTGGTAATATATTTTGACAAATTTGAATAAAATTGAAGATAATAGATTTGGAAATTATATGACATATTTGTTTCGTCTTGGAAAGTTAGAAAGAGAAATTAAAATATATACGGAAAGAGCTGTTGCCACCTCATTCTCACGCGGAAACAAATTCTAGGATAAGACCAATCACTTCTTTCTTTCCTTTTTTATTGAATAAAATAGATAGATTAATTACTTGTAAAGCTAAATAACTATGTACGTCCATATTTTAATGGTAAGATTTTTTCTTCTTAAAATAACTCAATTATAACTTTAGAAAATGACTAACTTCTATTTTTAATATAATGTTAATTTTACTTTTAATTAATGCTAATTCTATTACTTTAAATCTAATAATTTTATTATTTTTAAATATTACAACATAATAAATTATTTTAATAATAAAATATTATGTATGTTTTGTTTTTAATATTTTTTTTCAAATAGTTTAGTAGTTAAAATTCATTCTTTAAATGTAAATAAGTAGGATATCGTTGACAACTAAACTGATCTGACGAAACTATTTCGCTTTTAATTTTAAAAAACACAAAAATAATTTTAAAAAGTATAAAATTTTAATCTATTTAAATTTTAATAATAATATTAAAGTAAATACTATAATTTCTTTTTTGAATTTAATTGAATTCTGATACTTTCAATTAAATTAAATGAAGATATTTAATATTATATTATTTTTAATATTATTTTTTATAAAAAAAAAAAATTAAATTACAGCTTTGATTTTTCTATTTTGTCTGATTTATAAAATTAATTTTTTTATTTTAAATTTAAATAGTTTTTGATTTCTCTATTTTAAACTCAAACAATTCTAGTTCCTTAAATTTTTTTCATCCAAAATGGATGAAAATTTTGTATTTTAACTTATATGTTTAGTTAAAAATTTTATATATGATAATTTGTAATGTTTTACATGTAAATTATCACTTAAAAAATAAAAGCATTGTTAATTGTAAATATAAAAATATGAAAGGAGAACTAAACAGTATAAATTTAAAATAGAGAGACCAATTTTTTAAATAGGATAAATAATTAAACCAAAATTTTAAATTTTAAATCAATTAAACTTCTCCACTAAAATTAATTAGTGTCCTCAGGACACTAGTTAAGAATTCAAAATAAAAAAAAATATGTTATATTTAGTTCACTCAATACACCTAATATTCTTTAAAAAGTCTGATTATTTCTCTTTTCAGAGCATTGAATACACATCTATGTAAAAAAAAAAAAAAATTTCAATCTCTTAAATAATGTTGAACTTACCATTTTAATCTCTTAACCAATGCCCTAAGGACATTCCTTGCATTTTCCAAATTAAAATTAAAAGGTAAGGTAATGAGAATTTGTCCTATAGTAATTCCAGTTAAAGAGAAAGTTGGGTGGGTAAATCAATAAGTATTTGTTAGCAATGTAGTTTAAAAATTCAACATTTGACAACCAATTTCTTTATGGTAAATCATTGACTATATTAAGAGTGAAAGCAAAAATGTGAGTCGGTGTATATTTATTCAATTAATTTCTTTTTAATGTGAGTTTAGTTAAATAATTTTTTTTTAAATGTGAGTTTAGTTAAATAATTTTTTTTAATGTGAGTTTAATTAAATAAATATGCACTTCCTCCGAAATTATTAATATTTTTGAAAATAAATATCTTTTTAAATGATTAATATAAAAATTTTATAATAATAATATTATAATAAGGGTAATATTAACTTGTGTCTTTAGGACACATGTTAAAAAAACTATTTATAAGAAATTTGTATTGAAAAAAATAATTTAAAAATTAATTTTATATTTTAATTAAAATTTATACACAATTTTTAAAACAATATTTTTTAATTTAGTTCTTAACATGTGTTCAAGAGTACAAGTTAACATTACCCTTATGATAATAATAAAAAAGTCAGAGAGATACAGTGTTGAAACCCAAAGAAAACCACAGAGATTCACAAATTCATCGATGGCGGAAGGAGATGATAATGTGATCAAACACAAAGCATATGCGCGAGTTGGTTTACTCGGAAACCCAAGCGATGTCTATTACGGCAAAACAATCGCTTTCAGTCTTTCCAATTTCTATGCCACCGTTCAACTTCGTCCTTCCGATGAACTCGTCATTCAGCCACATCCTACTCACGATCTTGTCAGCTTCGATTCTCATCATCAACTGGTAGCTTCTTCCACTTGATTGATTCTCATTGGACTTGTATTCCTTTGCAGGTTATGTTTTCATGTTCATGATGATGATGTTATTGCATGTTATTGTTGTTGTCAGGTTGATAGATTGAAGAGTGAGGGTTACTATGGTGGAGTTCGATTGCTTATGGCTATTTATAAAGTTTTTTATAATTATTGTAATGATAATGAGATCTATCTTCATCATACTAATTTCACTCTCTCATATGATACTAATATCCCTCGTCAGGTATATAATTTGCTTTTACTCCTTTATCTATATATCAGTCACTACTAGCTTTTACTTGTATGTAAACTATTTGGTTTAACATAGATTCATTGTCAATGTAAATTTACAATGTTGGATCAATCATAATCAAAGTCGTCTCAAACTTTTGAGAAGCTGATGAAGTTGAAGGTAGCTTCAGTTGAGTCTTACATTTTTTAAGGGAACTGTATGGAGGGAGACCCTTTTTGGCATGACTTACTCATGAAAAAGTCTGAGGCCTTGTGCTGTAGGTCGTCTTGGACACCCTCAAAGACGGGCCTTATTTTTAATCATTTGATCATTGAAGATATGTTTAACCATTAGGATTGATTCATAGAGTAAAACTTTTACACTGTTAGTTTTGTAAACCATTTATCTATTTATAAGTGTGCTAAACTCATTGCCAGTTTTGGCTACCTCTTATTGTAGTCCTTGTGAATGAATATACATGAGGGTGAGTGCATGTTTGGAATCACTTTTGGGACAACTAAAAGTGAGTCTTGTGACTTAAAATTGTTTTACCTTAAATTCACTACTCTTAACCAAAATAAATTTTACAAAATCACTTTTTACCACCGTAGAACCAAGCACGCAGTAAGATTTAAAGTCCTACTTGTGACGTGATTCTTGATGTTGTGGGAAGTTGTAGTGGAGTACACTTTGATTGTGTCGCTATCCTTGATATTATGGGAAATTGTAGTTGAGTATAGTCTAATGTGGCCTCAATTGCGGCCACATTGAGATGTAAAACACTTTTATGGTGCGGCCCAAGTTCCGGTTGCAAATGTTTTTTACCTTGCTTGAGGATTCTAGGTAGAGAATTCTAGACAATAAAATTACATCTTTTAAGCTTACATGGGTGTTCAATGCTCTGTTCTTCTGTAAAAGCTTTAACTTTTGTATTTTGACTAGTGCCCTTAAGGTGTTTGTTAGCAAGATGCACTCATTATTTCTTATTAGTGTACACAGTTTCGTTTTCATTTTCGTATTTCAATCTGTGGTTTTACTGATGAGTAGTATGGATTTTTGTATTTCAGAGTGGACTTTCGGGTTCTAGTGGGATTGTGTGTGCTGCCTTGAACTGCTTTCTAGATTTCTACAAAGTCAGGCATCTAATCAAGGTGGAGGTGAGGCCTAACCTTATCCTTGCCGCCGAGGAAGAACTTGGAATAGTTGCTGGTCTTCAAGATCGAGTTGCACAAGTTTATGGTGGCCTAGTTTATATGGTAGAATGTTTAACTTTTGATCCAATTATTCATTTTCAAATGTGTAATGAATACCAAATTATCATGCGATACAACTTGCTCTGCTTTTATAGGACTTTAACAAGGAAAGCATGGACAAATTAGGGCACGGAACTTATATACCAATGAATTTGAGTCTACTCCCACCTTTATACCTCATCTATGTAGCGAATCCTAGCGACTCTGGGAAGGTTCGTGTCATGGAATTGCCTTATCTTTTTTTATCATATATGCTTACTGCTTGTGCCTTTTACAATTAGTAATAGTAATATTACATTACTGCTTGTGCCTTCTAAAATGATTGTTTGGGCTAACATTTCTATTAGGAGCATGAGAAACTTAATTTGTTTTTTCATATATAAATATTAACTGATACTGACATGTAGGTTCATAGTAAAGTACGTCAGAGATGGGATGATGGTGATGAGCTCATCGTGTCAACTATGCTTGAAGTGGCAAATATTGCGGAAGAAGGAAAGACAGCATTAGAAGAGAAGGACTATTCCAAACTAGCATCTCTCATGAATAAAAATTTCGACCTGCGAAGGTGATTCTCATTTTTCTGTTTCATTATATGTAGATACAGTTGGATTATTTGGTTTATATGACTGATAGCAATCAAAAGTAAAAGAAAAAAATCCATTTTTGAAACTTAATCATCAGCTTACTTATTGATAGGTACTAGTACTAGTCCTTAGTTTGTTTCACTAAAAGCTCTAAACTATGACCAATGAATAGCAAGCCTACTAATTACACAATTTAGTGTACTAATTCATTGATAATTAGGAGTTGAACTTACTACACTGGGGTTTTACAACACTCACATTGCACACCAGCTACTTCTGCTAGACCGAGTCGTCAAAGTACTTGTAGACACGGACACTGGACATGGCACTGACACTAACACGTCAACATCGATAATAATTTGAAAAATAGATAAATCAAACGTAATCACATCTGTTGGTGTCGGACACTGGACATGCCTTTGTTCAAGGTATCCGTGCTACAGAGAGGGTCTTACATAATCCTCTAAAACTCGGTAAACATAATCTAATACACCAGACAAGTTCTTTCCCGTTTGACTCTTAAGATTTTAGAACATCGTAGTCAAGGGCATGACATCTAAAATAAAACTAGGCAACACTTATCCACAAGAAAGGTGCCACTGGTTGTCTACCAAGTTCTTTCCCGTTTGACTCTTAAGATTTTAGAACATCGTAGTCAAGGGCATGACATCTAAAATAAAACTAGGCAACACTTATCCACAAGAAAGGTGCCACTGGTTGTCTACCATTTGGATGATAAATTTGCGGATTATGGAAGGAAGGAACGGGAGATGTTCATATAGAATCACCGAGTAATTAATCAACAAAGTGGCAAGATATTTTCTGAACTTTAAAGTCATTCATATGTGTAGGCCTTACAAAAACCTTAAGAACCACATCTCATAATCAACGCAAGGTAAGGACCACAGCTAATTCTGGTAAATCTCAAGACTCAGCTCACCAAATGTCCAAACAAATAGGCAAAGCTTCCTCTCACCTATTCCCCGAATAAAAGAGCTATCATATCCACCTAATACACCCATAATCTACTTTGAGTTTTTTCCGTCTGTTCACAATTTTCTTCTATTAAACTTTGTTATTGGTATATATATTGTACAGGTTGATGTTCGGAGATGAAGCACTTGGTGATGTCAACATAAAAATGGTGGAGATTGCTAGAAAGGTTGGAGCGGCGTCGAAATTTACAGGTAGCGGGGGAGCTGTTGTTGCATATTGTCCTGAAGGAACTTCTCAAGTAAAGCTTCTTGAGGATGAATGTCACGAAGCAGGATTTGTTTTAATACCTCTTGAACCTTTTCCTTCTCGGTTAAATGAAATAGACTTGAAAACCATGCAGATGTAATGTACTATTCTTATTCTGAAGATTTGAAAATTAGTTGTTATGAGTTAGAATTTTCAATATGAGATGTTCTTTTATTTATGAATTCAAAAATAAAAACAAATGGGTTGAATATGTTAAGTATGGTCCAATTGACTTTTGGGGTTTATGCACTTAGATTGTCTCTTGGACATGGATATGAATATTCAATGTTCCAAAATTGGAGTTAAGTATCTTTGCCAAGTGAATACTCAATTTGGTCTTAAAATTCTATGACTGTTGATTAAGCTTGTTCCTTTGTGTTAATTTGTTGTTATTTCTTTTGGACAATTGTTCAAGTGAAAAGAATAATTGAAAGAAAAAAAAGTGTTTTTTTTTTATAAATTGGACATCCTATGCGAGCAACTGTATAACAAGATGGTCAGCCAGTAAAACTGTTCCGTTGGTCTAAAAACAAAACTTAAAAAATGAATTGGAGATTGTAACCAACATGGTTGGGTAGATGAGAAAGGATTTGAATACCAAAAGACCAAACTTTTCTCACCTGTGAATTCATGATATGGATATCATATCTTCAAGCATCATGTCAAATAGTTACCATCTAGTAATAAGAGTGGCAAATATAAAAGAAAATCAGTCAAAAACCACACAATAATAAGAGTAAATTTCAGACATAAAAACTACTAAACTACCTTCTCACTTTTTACATTCATCCTAAGTTAACTCTAATGGCATGACTCTACTCAAAATGCTTTTAAATACAGTTAATCAATATTTTAAAAATATTTACCAATGGTCTAATCTACTTTAAGTTACAACTAATATCTGTTTGTTGAACTATGTAGACCCTCCTTTTGAACTTGACATAATTATCAAGATAAATGATACAAGGTACAACATTATTAATCTTCATAACTTAACACTTGCATGAGATCAAGTGGTGTAGACCAGATTTGTAAATCAAACAAAGATTGTTCTTGTTTGAAGCAAATTGCTTCTGCAACGTCGCATAAATTGGAAATATCACGAATGATTGCTTCCTGAGCTTCTACCTGTAAACATGGGAATACTGGATTAAAGTGACAAAACTCATAACCACTATTCACTACATATGCAATTCAATCAAATTAACAAGTCTATAATTCTGCAGAGGATGTTCCAAGGCCGGATAATGGCTACAAAATAAGTACTTATTCTATATGGAAAGATATGGACCAGGATCTACTACAGCAATGCAACAGTGTAGCACAAACAATCAAAAACATATACTATCCAATATAGTACCAACACAAGTATTTACACGGTAAGATATGGACAGGGGATCTACTTCAGCAATGCAACAGTGTAGCACAAACAATCAATCATATACTACCTAATACAGTAGCAACACAGGTATTTACATGGTAAGATATGGACCGGGATCTACTTCAATTACCGTAGCACGCAGTTTCACACTGTAAACAATCTTGGTCGTTAATTTGAGATCAAACAATTCCGATTACACAGTCAACCTATATTGGCCAACGATTAAGATTGGCCGACCAAGATACTACACTATGTGACTCAGTTCTTGTATCTAATCCAAATAAGATATGACAAATACAACAACAACCAATTCTATATGGATCAAATTACTCGATAATGTCCTATCAAAAACCATGTTTATATCCAACTTGTTAAGCTCAAGATCTTTTTTAACAGTTTCTCTTATGGTTTTTTTAGATATTCCGCTACCTCTACATGACTACTCTCCATCTAATCCACTTTCCTTACTATCAAATCCACATGTCTTCTCTTCTAAGCCTATTTTCCATGCATAATAATTAAGTTTATATTAATATTTTTCAGAAATCCAAATAAGAAGCTAACAGAAATAAACTGAGATTTGGTCTAAACAAAACAGAAACAACTTGAGATGAATCATAAAAGCCAAAAACCTTCAAAAATACTTATACCTTCTAAGTTCTTCTAATTCCAAACACACCTAATTCCTAATGCCCTAATTGAAAAACTAGAAGACTTGCCAATATTTCCTAAGCAGTAAATTGGGCAAACTAGGTTTACAGCTGAAACTAAAAGCAACAAACAACATTGATTTAATCTATTATAAGTTCATTAAATTGAGCTTCAGCATACATCTTATGTTCACATAAATCACTTAAAAAACCCTAAATCTAACTCAGACACACAAAAACGGATTTTTTTGTTATACTTTCGCAACTCTAAGAATGTAAAATCCAGACCCACCTTTTAATTAACCTAAATTTTCATACTTTCTTGAATATTATGAAACATAGAGACCAGAATCGATATATGGGCAAGTATAAAATGCAAATCTCAGACCCAGTTAGTAATTTCCCCAATTCTTATTCTGAGGTTTTTTTTTTGGGAAGAAACTGCGAAGAATGAGATTATGAAGTTACCTGGAAGAGAAGATCGTCGAGGAGAGATGATTGAGTGGAGGAAGAAGTGGAAGGAAGAGATGGGGTTTGATCTAGTATCTGCTGCTTCTCTTGCTGTTGTTGAAGCTGGGTTGAAGATGAAATTTGTAACGACCGCAAGGTGTTCGACAAATTTTCCCAATGAACAATTTCCTTCTCGAACTTCGATTTAAGCTTCAATAGGGTCTGTTTCTTCCGTTCTCTCCGCAAGTTCTCCAACCTTTTCTCTTCCAACGCCGAGGAGGACTCCGGCGGAGGATGGAATCGACCGCGTTTGCGTTTGAAGACCAAGCCATCGTCGCAGCAGAGTTCCCATTCTTCATCTTCCAAATCCATTACTGGCTTCTGGTTTTCAAAAATTGGAATAAGCGCGAGCGCGGGATTTCGCTTTTTCAACCCTCTCTTTCCTTTTTCTACTTGTCTCTCTTATTTTTCTTTCGTTCGATTTTCTAGTTCTATTGTATTTGATTTTTTTTAATTATTATTTCATTTGAAGGACTTTTCTATTTCTAAAGTGTTAGTACTTTTTAGAATTTTTTGTTTTGGTCGGTATTTTTTTAATGATTAGTGTAATTAAATTTTTACTAAATCATTTTTATTACACGATTAATGTCTAGATTTTTCTCTTCCGACTAAATTTTTTCAATAGTAAATTTTATTCTCTTTCATTTATCATATTTATAGAATATTTTATTCTTATTTATTTGTTGTTTTTAAAATTTAATGTGTTTTCGATTGGCTAAATGTCCAATAAGATTATACCCACTCATTTTGTCATTCTATTGAATCTAAGGTATAATAAATACATTTACACAATCTCTAATCTTTGCTCTTACTATGATTATCTTGAACTTAAATTGACTTTGGTGTTAGAGTGTTAATCATACAGACACCTTCTGGGTCCACCGTACCTGAAATTATCAACATTGGTTAAAATCAGCGCCTCCGATTTAAGATGCATCATGACCACAATCTTTGGTCCAATAAGTTGTATCACTAAATTATTTACTAAGCTTCGTTCCACCATAGTTTCCATAATCTTCTCCATTTCTGGTTTCACAACGGAACAGTGGCGCCATCTGTGGGAATCGATTTCTGATTTATGTGATTTCTACGAGGTTAAGTTCAATTCTTAAATATGGAATTCAAAAGCGTCTTTGGCGAAGAAATCTAGGTTTCACGAAGTCAAGATCTCATATTTGTGACGTTTGCATCCATCGAACTCTGATGCAACTTCGATTGATCATTCATCTTAATCTTGAACTGTTGTGAGAAGATGCCAACAGATATCCTCAGACCTAGACTTACATATACCACGTTCTGACTGGTTAGGCTCAGTTTTAGCTCAAGCTGGCCAAGAATCTTGATTTCTAACTCTTGTCAAGGCTTGTCGATAGATCCCCTAGAATCAACATCCAAGTTCATAAAGCTATAATTAACTGAGTTCCATTTCCCCCCCCCCCCCCTCTCAAGCAATGTTGTGGATCTGTAACTATCGAAGAAGCCCTCAGATAGATCTCCTTAAATTCGAGCTCAAATTCATCATAGATTCGGACAAAGACAAAGAAATCATATTCGAGAGATGTCTTTGTATATATGCCAACATAACTGGCACATGCCAGATGTCTTGTCATCGTAAAAGCCTCACGTCGAATGTCTCATCCTCGTAATGACCAGAGCCCGACCCCGAACAGTCACAAGGTCTCCGGGACCGTGGAATTATAAGGGAGTTACAAGGTGATTGTCATTTTGAAGTATGGGGTATCTTAGGCGATGAGATGGATGGTCAGGTATCAAATTCGATGGAGTAAGTGAAGGCCACATGGCTCTTCATCGACATCTGAAGTCCCTAGTGTAACACCCTGATATTTATATTTTAATATTTGTTAAATTATTTATGATTATTGGTGAATTTTGGTGAATTATTATGCATGGTGTGTTCTTGTTGTGTGTTGTGGGGTGATGATGAGTTAATGATAATATAATAATATAGATTATGTTATTTAGACTATTATAATTAATTAAAATAAAATGAGGGGAAACATCAAGGGCAAGTTGGTCATTGTAGAAGTATTAGTGATGGTAAGTTGGGAAAGACATATTAGGGGTCCTAAGGACAAGTTTGATAAAAGGGAAATATAGGTGGAGAAGTTCATTCTGAACGATCGTGTTTTAGAGAAACGACACTGAGGAAAAAGGTAGAAGGGGCTAGGGCTCTAAGAGATTGCGGTAGAACTCAAGTGAAAGGATCAGAACTAAGAATCTAAGGTATGTGGAGTATTACTTTTCATTATAATTGATATAAGGTTTAGATGTATATAGGTGGTTTTGGGGTTTTAGGGAGAATGTAGTAATATGATGGTAATATGATGATTCATGACAAAATAAGTGATAGAGTGATGTTGTAATGCTATTAGATGATGTATATAATGCTTATTATGAAGTGTTGTTGTTATATTATAGTATCTTGTGAATTATGTGCGTTTTCCGTATTGAATGATCTTGGAATCGCAAGAATTTTGGGATTTAGACTGTGCAGAAAACACAACCAAAGAGTTGTTGTTTTTGCACTTTTGTCGGGCGAGTCATGTGTTTCGTCAGGCGAAGCTACTTTGCTCAGGAAGCGCCTGTCACACCCTCATTTTCACCTTTAGCCTTTATACCCTACATTCACCATATCATACATCGTTCTATTGCATATTGAGCATGTGGGTTCACAAGGTACGGATTGGATCGGTTTGTTATTTTCCATTTTTAAATAAGATAAATTTCCTATCATAGAATACATGGAAGAAAAGGTTCATCACCTAAGGTTTGATCTAAGTTGGAAAGTCTACTCATGTATATTACTTCAAGAAGAAGTTACTTGAAAATATTAGGATATTCAAGATTAATATTCCTAATGGACATGAAATGCAAGGCATAATTCAAGATTTCCTCATCCAACTTTGTTTCAAATTCTTGATCAAGTGGAGTTCAAATTTGCAAAGCATAAGTCAATATCACGAGTGCATAATTCAAGACTTCATAATGGCATGAGGGAATACATCATTCAAAGTTCAAAATTCATGAATTTAAGAGTAGAGATAAGAATATTACTATGAGAAATTTTATGACATTACAACAATGTCATTTGTTACAAGATTTCCAACTCTAGGTAATGTTTAGAAGTTAATTTATTTTAATCTTCATTCAAGTCTCTAATCAAATTCATGTTATGGTAATGACACACCAAGTCCACATTATATCCGAGAAATATCTAAGAATTAAATCAATATTGGAATATGTCAAGATCAAGACCATGTTTGCTTAGCCATGGATAAATTGAATATCATGCAAAACAGCCCCATGCAAGAGATGACAATATGTATCATGTTACAAAATCATTTTTATGTCACAAAACCAAGGGAATAACATACAATGATGCATCTACATACCAAAAACCAGAATTTGAAAATGCTGTCAAAAGGTAGTGGTATAGACTACATGAGTAGATCCAAGCACAGCCAACCAAAACCAGTGGAGTATTCGCGAGAAGGATAAAAGCTCTTGGGGTATCCATTTCTTTAAACTTTTCCCTCTTTATATCTTGCATTTGTATTTTATCTTAAGTGTTGTTGTACTAAGTATACCATGTAAGATTCTAAGGGGATCAAAAAACCATTTTTAAAGAACCAATAAAAAGGAAGAAAATCACAAAAGACAGCAAAAAATACAGTAAATACTGTATTTTTCGCTTCAGGTCGCGGCGCGACCCATGTTCACGGCGCAAACTGTCAAAAACAAAATCAAAACTTTTCTCAGTTCGCGGCGCGAACATGCAAAAAACAGAATGTTCACTTTTCTCAGTTCGCGGCGCGAACACCCTTTGTGGCGCGAACTGATCAGTTTGTTTATGTTTTTTTTTGCTGTTTTTTACCTAAAAAAACCGTTTTTTTTGCATGTCTCGATTTTTTTTAGCCGACTAACCCATATGTTTGTATGGTTTAGTGTGAATATTGCTATTGTCTTTGTTGACTTTTGATTCCATAACCATTTTCAAAAAACAAACTCTCGATTTTATCGAGCCATTTTCGACCATGTAAGTCGGCCGCCTTGTGCGTCCGCCATCGACCTTGTTCGTGTCACTTCAAATGCTTTTTACAAACAATAAACCTTGATCCAACATCAAGTGATCCTTTTTCTTATAAACAACCCAAAACACAATAAAATATACGATTAGAATTATGCACCATGGACTTTAAAGTGGTGGAGAAGGAATGAGAAATGGAGTCCTCCTACACTCATTCCGAATGTTTTGAATACAAGGCGCTCGACTTGGTTATTCGAGACATTCATCTCCATCCAAAGTCTTTTGTATAATCCTAGTCAAGAATAAATTCTTCCCTAAGAAAAACCTAAAAATAACATCAACTCATCAAACTATTGTTCGCCTTAGGGCATCAATCCGAAAATCCTTTTTCAAGGTATAAAATCAACCAACAAACCACTATTTCATAAGCCTCCGAACTACGGAGCTCTGATTCTTCACTTCTTTTAAGTGAGGATACGTAGGCACAAGGGCCACAATCCTTGGCGAGCATTAAAATAAATAAACCCAACCCCTCTTTTCCCAAAACAAGCAAACTCTTAATAAAAACACCCATTCACGCCAAATAACCTAGAAGGTTCCCATCGAGTACGATGGATGCGAGGGGGTGCTAACACCTTCCCCTCGCATAACCGACTCCCGAACCCTAAACTTGGTTGCGATGACCATGCTCTTTTCCCAAAGGTTTTATCGCTATTTCCCTTTCCCTCCTTGGGATAAATAAAATCCGGTGGCGACTCTGTGTCATTTTTCGCGTAGCGACAGCGCCGGGCGAAAGGAGAGGCGAAGGAAGGATGAAAAAGAGGTGCTCCTAAAGTTTTGTATGGGGAAGGCGTTTCTCCCCTGCTTCGCTGGGTGAGCAGGAATTGACATATTTTTTTATTTTACTTTTCTATTGTCTTTCTTTTCTTTCTTTTTGTTGTTGTGTTGTCTCACATGAAGTGAAATGATTAATATGATATATTTCTAATAATGATGTTATGATGGAGTGTGACTGATTATGAGGGACATACTATGATGATTACATGAATGATGATGCAAATTTGACTAGTCGTGGTCGTGTTTATTGTGATGTGTTGCATCATGCATTCATAACATATGTTAGGACTTCGGTATAATGACAATGTTAGGACTCCGGTCCAGTGGTGGTCTCAATCCCATTGTGTGGATTGAGAGTGTTTTATGATGTGCTCCGGTTCTGAGTGGGAATCGATCATATGGTGGGGATTGTAATAGCCCAATTTTC